GGAGGTCGGACCGAGGTGGTCCTGCAGACTAACTAGAGGATTCAGTAGATCAAACCGCAGTGGCACATCACATAGAGTTGGCAGAAGAGTTACGCTGACAAACACTTCTCTGAGTTGGAGTTTCAGGTCGGTGACCTAATGCTCTTGAAGGTATCACCCTGGAAGGGTGTGGTCCGCTTCAGGAAGAAGGGGAAATTAGGTCCCTGATATATCAGGTCATTCAAGATTATTTCCAAGGTTGTCAAGGTGGTATATAGACTAGAGCTACCAAAGGAGCTTAGTTAGATCCATAACACTTTCCATGTGTCATAATTGTGAAAGTGCGTATTAGATGAGGAAGAAGTAGTGTCCTTGGATTGCATACAGGTCGACGAGCGCCTGAATTACATAGGGAGGCCAGTGGTCCTAATGGAGAGGAAAATGAAGATTCTACGAAACAAGGAGGTGCTTTTGGTAAAGGTAAAATGGGAACACCGAAGAGGGTCTAAATGGACTTAGGAGCCGGAGGCTGAGATGCGGGAGAATTTTCCGAAGTTGTTCACTGCAGCAGCCTTCGAAGACGAAGTCTAGTTCAAGTGGGGGAGAATGTAACACCGACTCAGGTGGTATAAACTTTTCAGTATTATAATTCCATTTTTTTAAAGGTCGACTCGACGAGTTGGATGCCCTGACTCGTCGAGTAGGGACGGATTTGGTCGCATGTTTAAGTGACCAACTCGGCGAGTTGGAGGGCATGAGTCGACGAGTTGGAGCTGGTGGGTGAAATCTTAATTTATGGGGTTTTGCACCCTATTTAAAAGGTCATTAGCCTCCCTTACAGCCCCCTTCGAACCCAGAAACCCTAAATCGTGTTTTCTTTCCATAAAAATGTGTTTTTAAGCTTGGAAGGTGGATCTTGGTAAATGGAGCTTGAAGGTCAAGAAGCTTGAGGCAAGGAACGGTTGTGGATCATTTTTACTCCATTTTAGCATCACTTGAAGATAACAAGTCGTTACCTTGACATCCTTCTAACCAGATCTCTCCATGCATGAGATTAGGGCCATTGTAGCATGTTATTGATTCATTTCAAGTTTTGGGCAAGATCTGAAGTTGAAACTTCAGATCTAGGTTAATCTTCGTCCTTAAGGCCATAAAGCTTCAGCCTTTAGTAAGATAATGTCTTTTCATCACCTAGAACCTCTTCTTTAGCTTATTTTGGCCCTTTCACCTTGCATGTACATAAAGCGTGAAACTTTATCTAGGAAGTATGCCCCACAAGCTTAGATCTGCAATATGGAGCTTTGGGCTGGCTTAAAATAGTTAGAATGGGGAAAGGACTGAAGGGACTCAGCTAGTCCGATAAAGATTAGCCTTTGAGGGCTTCTGCATAAACTAGGCGAGTTATTAGGATGACTCGACGATTCAGTTAGGGTTTTCTCAACTTTTGGACACGCTTGAACTTGGCGAGTTGTCTGGAAACTCGATGAGTCGACCAGGGTTTTATGACTCTGTGAGTTCTGGAGGAACTTGATGAGTTGGTATACTGTACTCGACGAGTTGGGTCAACATGGACTGTTGACCTTGACCGTTGACTTTCACTTTCACCAAGGGTTGACTTGTTTGACTTCTGAGGGCATTTTGGTAATTTGGATATTTTTGGGAACGGACCATTGATGGTTATAGGTGTCGGAGTTTAGAGTTGTATTTGGAATAGTTTTCAGTATCATTCCGAACTACTTAGAGGTGATTTCTCCTCGTTATATCGACAGGGTCTAAGGCACCAATGTTGGCCGTTATCGGATTGGTATCCAAGTTATTGCATGATATGCTTATTGATTTGCATCCTAGTAGTTAGGATGGTGACATGATTGGTGGCCTGGTTAGGTCGGTATCCTAGAATATAGGATGATGTTATGTTAGTGATTGGATAGGTCTGTGTCCTGGTCGTAGGATGTTGCTATGATTAGTAATCCGTTAGATCGGTTCGACTGTGATGTATGCTAGCATATGATTTCTGTGCACATGTTTGTTTGATTGGGGGTTGGGTTGAGGCGGTCCTGCTTTGTGCTGAAGGACAATATACCCAGGGCGGTCTTGATAGACTGAAGGACCTACAAGAGGGTTCAGTTAGTCTAAAAGCCCGACGAGCGGTCAAGATAGGCTATAGTCCCTGCGAGGCGGTCCAGACGTGTCGAAGGATCGGAGAGCAATCCACATAGACTGAAGGTCTGCAAGGTGGTCCAGTTAGGCTGAAGGCTCATTATGCATCCTATGTTTGTTATATGATATGGTTGTGATTGTATGGCGTTGGTATTTTGGGGGTAACTCACTAAGCCTTCGAGGTTACATTTATCAATTATTGTTTCAGGTACTTTTGAGGATCGCAGGAAGGCGAAGGCGTGATAGTGCACCTCCTTATATTTTCATGATTTGATTATGGGGATACACTGATGTTAACACTATTTTGAAAACAAATTGTAATAACTTAACGGTTTTAAATGTTTTAAAAAGTTTTAAATTTGCTTGAATTTTTGGGTGTTACGTGGCAGTCATTTGGGATCCTTATGTGGAGTAGTCGTTGACTGGGAGATGCTAAGCCACTTGCAGTGGGATTAAATGATCTCAGAATAATCAATTTGACTATGTTGCACACCTATCATCTGTGTCTAAACATTACAGAGATGGAACCTCTACTTGAAGGATTATTGGTACTATATGCTATGACGGGCATTCGACATCTAGATATGGTAAGTGAATTCATTAGGTTGGTAAAATAGAGATAATTAGGACTGGAAGTTGTTATTCGATCAGCTATTCGATAAGGAATTGGTACGGTAATGGTTTAGCAGGGGCAGTCTGTCGAGGAGTCAGACCAATGTAGATTTCAAGACTCAGAAGGGTAGATGTGGTGCTCTGTAAGGGATTAAGGATTCGTTCTCCTTGGGTTTAGAGAGTTCTATTAGCGTTGGTTTCAATTTCCTTAGGAAGGTTGTGGTATTCACGGAATTGTGGCTGTGTTGCTCAGGTTTCCTGGTATGCCGGGATGGTAGTGAATGATTTTGAGGACGAAATCTAATTTAAGTGTGTGGGGGGGGGGGGGGTCGGGGGGATTTGTAACGCCCTGTTCTGAATCGATTCCTAATTCGAGGTTACGGCCCGAAGAGCAATCATCATAAGGATTAGGGCCTTTAAAAAGGTAAGATTTAGCCCATTTGGATGTGGGTAATGTACATATGTGGCCCAATAGTTTTGTTTGCATTTGCAGTTAAAGGGTAATTAAAATCGGTATGTAGTGTTTCAGACTTCTTTTATGAATTATGGATTTTAGTTCGATGTGTTTTAAGTGAAAAGTAATTAGATAGTGTTGTTGACCTCCTCAATATCTTAATGTGGATATAAAGAACGTCGAAAATGGAGTTAGAACGAAGAAGTTATGAACATTTGAAGTTTGGGTGGTTTTGGGCCAACCTGAGTGCGATGGGTGTACAAAAAGGTGTACATTAGGCGTACTAATGAAATCTTGAGTATGTTGGGCGTACCAAGAGTACGTTGGGCATACGCAATCAGTGCCTAAACCCTATTTTCGTGGTTTAAGCCCTATTTAAGCCCTTTAACTCCCCAAGCCTACTCCATTCTCAGCCTCCACCCTTCCAACACCCTTTTCATGAAACGCTAACCCTAGATGAACATTGTGAGCTAAAAGAATCTGATTTTGAGTGCTTTGTAATATGCATGGTGCACCTTGGAGAAGAAGGAATTTCTTGTAGAAGTGTTGGTTGCATTGGAGCTTGTACATCTAGACTTTGTTCACCTTGATTTATCTTCTATAGGTATAAAGTTTGAATCTTGATAATGCATCTGTTAGATCTAGTTAGTTTTGGATGTTATGAGCTTGTGGTCATTTTAGTGCATAAAGTTTAGTTCATGAAAGTTTGTGGCCTTGCTATGGATAAATTTGGAAACTTTATCCATCTAAACATCATTGTGATTCAGATCTGAAGGTTGTAGACTTGGAATTAATGGACTAAGTTGAAAAAGATACACTTTTGGTCCCAATTGGTGCTTAAAGACTAGATCTTGGTGGTTTGGACTATTCTAGTGGAGAAAGTTGGAAACTTTATCCATTATGGAGCTTTTAAGATGCAGAAAAATGTAATCTTGATCCTTCTATACATTCTATGAGAGTATCATGATGTCTTAATGGATTAATAAGTTAAGTTTTTAGCTTTTGGACCTTTTCTAGACATCGAAAGTCGTCAAATATGGAAACTTTATAACTTAGAATGATGTTGTGGGACTAGATCTGAGTGTTGGATGAGTGTTAGATGAAAGGACTTAAGAGATCTGAGTGTTGGATGAAAGGACTAGATCTGAGTGTTGTATGTATGGTTTATATGGTAGTGGGCTAACACCATGTGGGGTTCCCATGGCACCCGGAGTAAGACCATGGAAGGTTTCCACGATTTCTTTTTATGTTTATATGCATGGCTTATGTGACTGATATGGCTTATTTGATTATGTTGATTGTATGGGGTATGTTATGGGGAACTCACTAAGCTTTATGCTTACAATTTTGTTTATGGTTCAAGATATCATTGGTTTGGAAAGGAAGGATCGGCTTGATCGTAACTCACACACCCGTGTTTTCCGGATTATGTCATTTTGGGATGTAACTCTGATAAATGTTTCAAGTAAGCAATGTTTTTGAATGGTTAGATTAAGTAACATTCATGTTTGACTATAATGAAAAATAAAATTTTTACACTGGATTTTTAGACTGTTACAAGTCGGTATCAGAGTCTTGGTTTGAGGGATTCGGACATACTCTTGAGTGTGTTTGAACTCAAACTGAGGATTTGATAAATTTTTTAATATATATATATATATATATATATATATATATATATATATATATATATATATATATATATATATATATATATATATATATATATACCATCTTATTAAGCATACATAATAATGTCTTGAATACAAATTATAAAGTTTAAATTAAAATCAAATGAGGGATCTCTTAAAAGGTTGTCTTAAAAACAACTTTCACAACATGATTTACAAACACTTTAATAGTTAGCTAATTTGTTTATTGATAACTTTAAATTTCACACAGATAGCCACATATATCCTCTAAATTTTATTGATCTAACGGATGGAATTTATTTAAAAAACATAAATCGGATCCAACGAATTCATAACAAACACAAAGAATCGATGGAATTTTGACTCGGATTGTCACCGTGTTTTCAATTGCTTTAAAAGCAAAAGACCAACAACCATTTCCTTACTCCTTTTATTCGTTTTCTCTCTTCAAAAAAATTTTCACACGTCATTATCTAATGCAGGATACTTTACCCTTCCTCAATTCTATGGAGTAACTTCTGGAAATATAGCAACTCCAACAAACTGAGAGACGTTTGATTTTTGTAGGGCTTCAAGAATATGGCGTCTACATTCTTCAAAAAGTGCTTTCTCCTGCTTCATGAAGGATAGGATTTGTAGTTGTTGTTATTCTTGGAGCTGAAAGAGCACAAGAAAAGGTTATAGTCGAGCAAAACAAATTATTGTTTATTTCTTTATTCATATTGTATTGTAAAGAGGAGCAAAGCTTGTTGTTTTTTCCATATATTGAGAGATGTTGCTGGTGTTTAACAGATTAATCAATAAATCGTTGGTTTTCTTAAAAAAAAATACATATGTTTTCTCAAATAATAATTAAACAATCGGTACCCGTTTACTCAACAAAGTGCATACCACATATGATTCCCATTTAAGTCATCTAATACCAACTATGATTTCCATGTAAAACTGTTAAATTAGTTAAAGGCGTCTAACCTGTTTTGAATGAAAAACATAAAGAGACCATTGTCGCTGATGTAAATGGCGGTGTCAAACCTTTGTTTCCAATTCCATTAAAAAATTTAATTCCTTCAACTTCCTAACGATCTGTTTCAGAAACATCACCGAACTAACATCGAGCCACACCCTCACTTTACCTTCACTGCCAAACACACTCCTTCCATCACCTTCTTGCCCCTTGACCTGCACTGGTTTGTTTCGGTTTCCTATCAGATCCAGTTTGGTGTGAATATGTATTGAGCTGGTTCAGTTTGACTGAAGATCGATATGGATTGAAGAGTAAGTAACACAGATTCCAAAGAGAGGAGTTGACGACAGTTGCAACGATGACAAAGCTGGAATATATGGTTGTTGTAATGGAATCGGAGGAGATGGCGTCGATGGTGGCGTTAATGGAGTTGGAAAAGTGGCGCCGTTTATGAAGGTGGAAGAAGTGAAGTTATGGTAGTGTTAATACCGCCGCTACCATAACCGTTAACCACACTCAAGAACCGTCCTTTACGGCCAGCCACCAAGTCTTCCACCGTGAAACACCATCTCCACCGATTACCAAGTGAAGAATCAAATGAAGAAAAGATGAGGGAGAAGAAAACAAGGCGTAACCTACTTTTGTTTCTTTGGCTGCACAAGTGAAAGTACAATTAGGGCACAAGAGTTGATTTTAGTGTAGGCTAAACATATTAATTTGGGCTTATTTACTTGTGAGCTAAACGATTTAATGGGTTTGATATTGTTATTAGTTTATTTTTTTTTTCTATAAAAAAAACGTGTCTTTGTATTTTTAAATACAAAAGAAAAATATATTAAAATTTATTTTTCTATTATTTAAATAAATGCAAATATATGATTTGTTTTATTAAAGTTATTATATATATATATATATATATATATATATATATATATATATAATATATATATATATATATATATATACATTTGCATTTGATAAGATTCTAAACAATTAATATTATTATATATGACTCTCTTTCATTTTCAATATTGTTATTTACTACATTTCCAATGCTTATGTCTATAAATTTTATTTGATGTTTGTTTTTGACTGTTTAAGAAAACAGCTTTCTTTTAAAAGATTACACTTAAAATAACTATCAAAATATTTCACGACTTTTTAAATTAAAATGTCTTAGTAGAAAGAAATAATTTTATAACGACAAAATAACTATACTAAATAATATTAAATGACAATATTCATTGTAATGATTTTTTTAATATAAATAATTAAAAAATATTAAAATATTGAATTTAGTATGAGTGTTACGTTAGCATGAAAAATATTGTAGATAATAAAAATTATTTTACTCATGTAAATTGATATTAAATTGTTTTCAAATTACAAGGATTCCAACTTCTATCTTATTCTAAAATTTGGTTGCTACTATAAGGGAAGTGATTCGTACACAACAGTTTTTTACCGTACACAACAATTTATGCATTATAGAGTTGTACAATACAACACTTTAAAGCACAAATTGTTGTGTATGGAAAAAAAGTGTTGTGTACGAATCAGTTCCCCTACTATAAAGATACAAAATCAAAAAGTTAAAACGAGTTAATCACGCAAAACCTAAAATTTGTTAGAAAACAAGACGATACCTAAATATATTAAATACAAGTTAACTCTTATTTCACTATGCTCCTTTTGCATGGTGAAACAAAAAGGACCTGACTCTTCTCATTTTTTATATTTTTTTAAAGTAATATATAACCTAAATAATTAAAACTTTTTTTAATCGCAATAAAAATGCACATTTATTTTTAAACCACAACAATAATATATTTTTTATCTAAAAAATCACGTATTTTTAAAACAAAATAACAAAGTATTTTTACTTTTAACCCAAATAACATTGCCAATCGAAAGGAAACGTTTTGACACCATCGAAACGAAACAAATTTTTGGATGGAATCTAATCGTCGGAATGAAACAAATCGCCGCCGCCGCATCACACGGGTATTCTACTAGTATATATATATATATATATATATATATATATATATATATATATATATATATATATATATATATATACACACACACACATTGAGAAAAGAAACTTTCTAAGATAAGTAAAGGGTGTGGTGCATGCAATCAGCCGAGCTCAAGTAAGTTTTCCCAGAATATCAATATATGTTATCTTTTATGACTTGATTTATGAATCTAAGAATCGTATGCTAGTTAAGGCTAGGAGAGATTCCTTTACATGTTGTATAAGCTGGTTGACTTGCATGATAGTGCTGAGTAGTCAGCGATATATTGGCCTGATATGTGATGTTTGTAGCTTGGGATACTGGATGCTATGTTGGAATGCGAATGACTAATTGTATTAGTAACTGTTAAGTGTATGCTTTAAAAATTGTATATAGTTAGGATCTCACAGCCTTACAATAATTGATTTGGCCTTATTTCTTGTTCCTTGTCTGGTTGTTGTCCTAAGGTAGAGTCTATTATTCAACAATTTATTAGATCTTGTTCTGTTTATAATTTGCATGCATAAGGCAGCCAATAGTGAGGGTGGATTTGGATAGCATGATTTGTGGTATGTGGGTTGAATGTTCTATGATAGTTTCATGGGTTGGAGAGTTACTACACGAATGTTGCTTGCTTTGTGCTTTGTGGAACTTTTGGTGGTGAGAGTCAGCTACTAAGTGAATATGACGATATTCAAGAGGTGGATGGTTGGCATCATGAGGAGTTCTTCAGCAGCTGATGGCAGGGTGAGGTCGGGAACCTGGGAAAGTGTAGGATATGCTCCAGTGAGTTTAGTAAGGCGATTTGGTGAGGTTGGTGCTTTGGTTTGAGGAAGTGACTTAGAGGATTTGAGAGGATTGTTGAGGAAAGTATGCATAGGTGTGGAAGGTAGTATTGAGCCCTTACTGTTGAAAGCATAGGATCCATATTCGAATCGGTGAGAGTCTTGGAGAATCTAAGAAGCTTATGGGAAGGAGAATTCTTGGTTGTGCTTGGACTGTGGGAATAGCTGCTTTGCAGGATGAGGATAAGAACGCATGAGGAAGGACCAAGGTTTGGTCTTCGCTCCGGCGGTGAGCCAATCAGAGGAAGGACTGCCAGGGTTTTGATTTTGCGTTTGATTATGGAGAAGAAAAGGTGAAACATCCCAAATTTCAAGACCACCAATTTCAATTTTAATTTAAAGTTTCATACAACAGATTACTTAAAATGCCATCAATGTTATCTCATATCATAAAAATCATAAGTCAATCATTTCAAAAACATATCATAAGAAAATAATGTTAGAGTACAAATCTCAAGAATCTCACGTGCGGAAAATCATGTGTGCGATGTGTTGCTATAATGTCTACTCCTTTCCATTCGAAGAAAGATGGACTTGAAACAAATACTAGGGACTATAAGAACAGATCATAATGAGTTCTCCCATCATACCACATACTATAAAATAGACATACTGCCATGCATATCTGGGTGCCCGGCCTACTCTGCTGAGCATATCTGGGTGCTCAACCTACCATTGCCAGGCATATCGGGGTGCCCGACCTACCCCTGCCAATCATATATGGGTGCTTAACCTACCCTGCGGTCTATTTCAACTGGTTACAGGGATTATTTCACCCCTATCACTACCACATAGTAACATAGCATAACATACTGTCATACATATCTGGGTATCCATCCTACCCTCTGGTTTATCTCAACAGGCTACGGGGTCTAACCTACCCCTCCTACCACTATCACATAATAACATAGCATACAAACACGTAAAACATAACAAATAATTCCATACCAGACAATTATCAAAAACACAATAATCTCAACTATAATCAACTACTAGTGGGCCAGCATTGGTGCCTTCGACCCACTTCTACTAAAAGGTAACTAACCTCAATGTCGTGTAGTAGTTGAACTGTCTTCGACTCTGTGATCAACTCCTCTCAAACTCCCACACATAAAAATCTCCTTTAATTACCCTTTCATATTCATAACCCCTTTAAGGGTCAACTCTAGTCAATGGTCAAAGTCAAAGTCAACATCTTGGTCAAAGTCAACACAAATGTCAAAGTCAACATCCTAGTCAAAGTCAAAATCCAAGTCAATGTCAACATCTTGGTTGACTCAACTCGCCGAGATAGTCCATCAACTCGTCGAGTTCCATGATCCATAAATGTGACAACCCAATATTTCGATTCTATGTAATGACCTAAAAAGCCAAGTATTGTAACCACTTTTGAAAATAATGAAATTAACTTTGAAAATAATATGTACAAAAGTCTCTATTTTGTTACCTACTATGTTAGATATTACTAAACCGTGAGCGTACATAAAAAGAATGTCCAAATCTGACTTCGTATGAGGAAGATATGATTTTTTCAAGTTCGATATAGCGGTAGACAGCTAAAAACTCGAAACAAAGAGCGAGCGAATTTTGGCCGGAATGACCTAATTGAGAATCAAAGGTCTCGACAATGGTATTTCAACGGTACAAAGTCTGGCAAAAACAGACATCGGATAAAGAAGTTATGGATTTCTAACAAACTTTTCCTACCCAGCCTTTTAAAAATAAATAATAAAAATAATTTCAAAATTTGCCGACGGAATCTAAACGAAAGTTGTAAAGCGTAGTCTCACCTACGCGTGGATATAAAGAATGTCAAAAATGTAGTTCATATGAAGAAGATATGAATTTTTGAAGTTTACTAAATAATTAAAATATAAATTTAAATAAAAATTCGGTATTATCCGAAGGAGGAGTCACCGGGCCAATCCGAGTTACGGCCAGCGTACCCTCGTACGCCCAACGTAGTCGAGAACTAGGCCTCGGAATTTCCACGTTGCCCCTCTACTCCCCTATGTCTTGTCCCATCTGTCACACCCCGCTAAAGCGGAAACACGAGGCGTGGCAGTATAAAGGGTTTCATAGCAAAAGTTAAAAGACAACATCAACCATAGTCTTAAAAATCATTACAAATTTACAATCGGTTTGGACAACTTTTAGAAGAAATTACAATGAAAATTGGAATACAACACATGCGAATGCTCCTAACAGTGAAGTGTCCCTAAGTGCCACTTACTCGATGATTCCCGAAAAAGCATGTAAAACGAGCGTCAACTATAAAAATAGTTGGTGAGTACTCACAAGTTTAACAAAATAATATTGGTTCAGGAATTGAAATCAAAGTTTTGATAAAAGTTTCCAATAATAAAAGTATATTATTAAAAGGAGTAAATAAGTTTGTAAAAACAAAGTTCTTTGTCATCAAGAGAGATAAAGTATGTTGCCCAAATAAGATGCAACATTCATATTCTCATGGAATATAAAGGTCGTTACTCAAACGAGTAAACAAGTTTCATGGCTAAAATGAGCAATCAATTTTGTTGCTACAAGGAGCAAAAAAATTCATTGCTAAAACATGTATATAAGTTTTCAATAATAAAAGTTCGTTCTTGTAATGAGAAACAATGTTCATTGCTATAATTAATAAACAAGTTTATTGCTATAATAAGTAACAAGTTTTATTGATACAATGTGTAAAAGTTTCATTGCTAAAATACGATGTAGGATTCGTATGTGCATCAAGTTTCCATTCATGAGTTCACAACCCTAGCCTAATGATCGAATCGTGCCCTATTGACTATTATGTGTATCGTAAACATAGTGTATAAAATGGTAAAATGCACTCAAGCGAATTGTGCGAGTGAGGAGTTGTCTACCTCCTGATAGCGTTATCCATAATAACAATAGGCTCAAAAGAGTTAATGAGTTGTGTCTAGAGATTCCAGGGACTTAACCATAATACAGTCCTTATGAATTAAAGTAACATACACATACATACGAAATATAGCAACCAAGTTTCATACGAGTCAAAATAAATACAACGAACATAAAAAGTTTAGGACGTGCTTTTCCACCCAAAAACATTTAAAAACCAAAAATAGGGGGAGTCGTGAATACTCACAATGCATTGAGATGATGCAAATGGTGCCTTGAACTACGCTCCACTCGTACCACTATCGTTTTCCTAGAACGATGTTACACACTAATGAGTCTCTAATCGAAATCTAACACTAGTACACATACTACTACAATAGAATTATGCTAATATTGTATCAAATTTAATATTGATAAGTTACAAACATTTTTCTGTGGAAATTAAGTTTCAAATAATCAATTGTTATATAACAATTTAAGTGGAAATTTTCCATTATTGAAATGTTAATATTTAACATTTTAGACGTGATCTAATGATTAAATATTCAAAACTAAATCAATTTAGTTCTAAACTTTCCCAAACTTTGCATTTCAGTTTTAATCGAAGTCAAAGACCTTAAGATAAATTTTCTTGAATTTTTGATTTGTCTAACTATTTTTCACCATTTAATTCCATTAATAATCATAAAATCATGGAAAAATAGTAAATTATCATGAAAAATTCTTATAATTTTTGTGTAACCGGTGTACATAATCTAGGAAAAATATTAATATGTGTTTTCAAAAAGTTTAATATAATTTTTCTAATTTTTGTGTGTTAATTCAATAAAAATAGAAATAAATAGGAAACAGTTTTAAAAATTCACCAAACTTGTTTTTACAAGTGTTATTACACATAATTAATCTGTGAAAAATATAAAAATAGGTTTTTAAACTGTTTAACCAATTTTTATGATTTTTGTGCATTTATTCTAATAAAAATATAAATAAAT